ACCAGGCAAGGCAGCTTTTCTTTTTGCAAAAGGGTATGTTATGTGGTCAGTCAGACTCACTGGAAGTCTGGTAGAGTTTTTTTTTTTTTTTAATCCTTAACACAAAAGTACTGTCTTTTCCCTGTTGGCTGAGGTCTGACCTCACAGTCTTTTCCGGTTGGCTAATTTAAAATAATCCTTGTAAAGGAAGGGGAGAAAGCGCTGATCAAAGAGGGGGAAGAGCTCTGCTACCCCAGGGCATCACACCTGATAACAAAAGTAGTACAGGATGTGAGGAGAGAGGGTTAAAAGATGAGAATTCCTTGTCATAAATCAAAAGTTTTGCAGGGTTTGAAAGAAAAGACTAATATCTAATGTTTCTTTTTTGAGGTTTGAATTTTTTGAGACAGGGTCTTCCTGTAGCCCCAGCTGGCCTCTGACTTGCAGAGATCCACCTGCCTCTGCCTCCCAAGGGCTGGGACTAAAGGCATGCACCACCATACCCCGTTTATTCAATGTTTTTACACAACACATTGCTTATCTGTTTTGATTTTGAGGTTACAGTGTTTGAGTTTAGAACCTTGTGCTATAGATGCATGTGAAAATATCCCCAAACTATCATGTCCTGTATTATTATTTATTATCTTAATTTTTGCTTGCTATAGACACATGTGAAAATATCCCCAAACTATCGTCCTATATTATTATTTATTATCTTAATTTTTGCTTTCTCTTGAGGCAACATATCTTGAGGATGTTTTCCTCCTGAGGGATCATTTTTGGCATATTTACATATTCCATATAATAGTGCATATAATAGTATGGGAAAGATGAAGGCCATAATACTCAGGTATTCAAGGCAAATGAATGCCTCCCAAGATATGTAAGGGTTTACAGCAATTGCAGCAATCCTTCTGCCTCAGTCTTGTGAGTGCTGGAATTGTAGGGGTGAGGTACTGTGTGCCTCACTATGACAGGGCCTCACTATGCAGCCTTGGCTGACCTGGGACTATGTAGACCTGACTGGCCTTGAACCCACAGAGATCTGTTTGCCTTATACAGGCAATAGCCTGCATGTATTTAAGCGTGCCCATGTAATGCAATGCCTGTGGAGGTCAGAAGAGGGCATCGGATTCCCTGGAACTGGAGTTATGGAGGGTTGTTAGTTGCCATGTGGGTGCTGGGAACTGAACCTGAGTTCTCTGCAAGAGCAGCCAGTGCTCTTAACTGTTGAGCCATCTTTCCAGCACCCCAGTCCCTCACTGTTTATTAGGGCAGTGTTGGGGATCAAACCTTCTCCAGTCCCCCAACTATTTATTTAAGGGGTGGAACCTGGGCCTCCTTCATTCTAAGAAAGTGAAAGCACTCTGTCTCCCAGCTCCTCTCCAAGGTGAGAACTTCTTAAGGAAATCCATTTTCTGATGCTCATTCTCCAGAAAGAGTTTAACTACCAGAGTTCAGGGAGATGTACCCTGGACTCACAGTGCGACTTAGCCTCCTTTCCAGCCTTCCTCCTTTATCTCCAAAACAAAGGAAAAGCTTACAAAAGTGCATTGCATCCCTAATGCAAATCCCTTAGGGGAACAAAAGAAAGGGACCCATGCTGGGGAGAGAAGGAAACCCCTTTCACCAGTTGTGCTGTCTGTTACCCACCTTCCTTTTTACCTTCTTCCTTCTTCCTAGCCTGGGTGGTTTCTAATTTGCTAGGTAGAGAATGACCTTGAACTTCTGATCTTTCTGCTTCCACCTCTGATGTGCTGGGTTTACGGGTGGTCCCTGTCACACTGGACTTAGGTGGCACTGGACAGCGAGCCCAAGGCTTTGAACCAAAGTCTCCCTGCATACTATGCATGCACTCTGCCAACTGAGCTACATCCCCATGTCTCTTTATTAGATCTATTTTTCTCTTCTCTTCTTTTCTCCCCTCCCTCCCTCCCTCCCTCCCTTCCTTTTTTGTCTTTTTGAGATAGGGTCTCCCTGTAGCCACAGTTGGCCTGGAACTCACTGTGTAGAACAGGCTGGCCTCAGTCTCACAGAGATCTGTTTGCCTCTGCCTCCAGAGTGCTGGGACTAAAGGTGTGCACTATTATTCTGGGCATTTATTAGATTTTTAAATGATTTTTTGATTTGTAATTTTTTTTAAGGCACACATCTTTGAATGTGCCTTTTTTTAAAAATTTATTATTTTTATTTTATGTGTATGCATTGCCTGCACGAAGGTAAGTACACCCATGTTGTGCAATGCCTGTGGAGGTCAGAAGAGGCTGTCGGATCCCCTGGGACTGGAGTTACAGACAGTTGTTAGCTGACATTGTGGGTGCTGGGATTCGAACTAGGGTCTTCTATTATTATTATTTTTTTATGTTTATGAATGTATTGCCTGCATGTTTGTAAGTGCACCCGTGTCGTGCAATGCCTAAGGAGGTTAGAAGGCATTGGATTCCCTGGAACTGGAGTTATGGATGGTTGTTAGCCATCATGGGTGGGTGCTAGGAATTGAGCCCGGGTCCTCTGTAAGAGCAGTCAGTGCTCTTAATGGTTGAGCTATCTCTCCAGCTCCTTGGTTTGTAATTAAAAAAAAACAAAAACAAAACTGAGTAGTAGAGAACTATTTGTTCTCTTCTGCTTATTTTTCCAAAAACTTGTTTATATCTCAATGTTTATATCAAGATATTGAAAACTCCCGGGCTTGATAGTGCATACTTTTCATCTCAGTACTCCGGAGGCAGAGGCAGGTGGGTCTCTGAGAGTTTGAGGCCACCCTCGTCTACATAGCAAGTTCCAGGTTAGCTGGGGCTACAGAGAGACCCTGCCTGTCTCAAAAAGACTTAAAAAAAAATGTTGAAAATCTGGGTTGATGACCTCAGTAGTCAACAAGACTCTGAGCTCAATCCTAGTCACCTCAAAAAAAGAGGGGCAAGCAAGCAACCTCCAACCAACAAAAGCCCTCCTTTTAAAAACAAAAACCGGTGCAGCAGTATTTGGTTTGAGTTCAAAGTGAAAATAATAGCTGTTATTTTTCTGGCATTACTAAGATAAACCGAAAAATAATAAAGAAAAATGCCTTACATAAAAAACCAAAAAACCAAAAAACCAAAAACCGGAGCTGGAGCGATGGCTCAGCAGTTAAGAGCACTGACTGCTCTTGCAGAGGAGCGGGGTTTCGATTCCCAGCATCCACAGGGAGGCTACGAACCACCCTAATCTTCTGACCTCTGTGACACTGCACCACACGGGTGCACTCACGTACATGCAGGCAATACACTCATGCAATTAATAAATAAAAAATATAAAAAAAGCAAAAACAAATTCCGAGCTGGATATGGTAGCAAAAGTCTTTAATCCAAGCAGAGGCAGGAGGGTATCTGTGAGATCCAGGCCAGCCTGGTCTAAGTAGGGAGTGCTACACCAGCTGAGGCTACAGAGAGACCCTGTCTCAAAAACAAAACAAAACAAAAATCCTCCCCCCAACCCCCCCCCCAAACAAAAACCACAGAATAAACCAAAACAACTGAATAACAAAAAGACTGAAACGGGGACGGGAGAGATGGCTCCGTAGTTAAGAGCCCTTGTTGCTTTTCCAGAGGATCCATGTTCTGTTCCTAGTTTCCACACGGTGCCTAACAACCACCTATCACTCCAGTTCCAGGGGAGCCAACATCCTCTTCTAGCCTCTGCAGGCCGCATGTGGGCACTTAGACACAGGCAGGCAAAGCACACTCATTAAAAAAAAATGGAATAGAATTGATGTTGGACTTTTTCTTCGTTTCAGCAATTTGCACCCATTGTTGAAAAAAAAAAAACCCCAGCCAATTCCATGTATTTTTTTGATCAGTTCCAAAGTCAGGTCTCACTACATAGCCCTGGCTGTCCTTGGTCTTGCTATGTAGGCCAGGCTGGCCTGGAACTTACAGAGATCTGCCTGCCTCTGCCTCCGAGTGCTGGGACTAAAGGCAAGCGCCACACCACGCTTGCAGGTTTAAGTTTTATGTTCACAGAAAACATACCAAACAACTCAATCTCTATATACACGATTTTATTACAAGAAAATGTGACAAGATAAAATAAGTTTAATTATTAGCATAAACTTCTATAAAGGATGCATCATATAAACACCAGAAGATTAAAAAAAAAGTCCAACCGGGCATGGTGGCGCACACCAGGCGGATCTCTGTGAGCTCAAGGTCTACATAGCGCGTTCCAGGCCAGCTGGGGTCACAGGGAAACCCTGTCTAAGAAAGACCAAAAAACAAAGAAACAAACAAAAACCAAGACAGTGTTGTAGTGCATGCTTGTAACCCAGCACTCAGCCCGCTTGGGCTGCAGAGTGAATCCAGTCCAACTGGGGCTAGAGGGAGACCCGGTCTCCAAACCCAAAGGAAGTAAAGTCACTTGAATTTTTTTCCTAGCTTGTTAAAATATTACATATATGTATAAATAAAAAACTTTTCCCCCCATCAGCCTCACTCTGCAGCCTAGGCTGGTCTTGAACCCACCCCGGGCCTCACCTCCCCGAGTACTGGGACTGGGATTACAGGCATGCAGCACCACGCCCAGAGCAGAGTCACTTTCAATCAAATCAGGATGTACACCGCTTTACAAAATGTTTTAGGGGCTCAAGAGGTGCAAACTCTGAAGACGTGGAGCCAAAGGATCCGGGCCAGGTGGGGTTCGGGAGGGCAGCACCCGGTCATGCACGCGGCCTCGACCCGTCACGCAACGGCATTTATTTAATTCTGCTCTTCTTCAGAGCCTCTTCCTCGCGGACGGCAAGCGCTCGGTAGGCCAGGAGCTCGGTCCATTCCGGTCCGGCTGCACCAGGGGACTCTCTGCAGCATCTCTGAGCCTACGGCTTTTCTAAAATCCCCGCCAGCTTCGGGTTTTTGTCGTGTGATGCGGCTCGGGAAGGCGTGGGAAGGCCCCGCGGAAACTCTGAGCGCCCGGCGGGGCGGGGCCGGTCCGGGAGGGGCGTGGCATCCGGGGGCGTGGCTCCGCGGGCCGCCGCGCAGGCGCGTAGCGTCCTTCGCCTGAGAGCGCGCATTCCCGCGCGTGTCCCCGCGCGGGCTCCGTAGCGCGTGTGTCTCCTGACGCGGCCCCGCGGGCCCTCCTCCCGCTCTGCGGCGGCGGCGGCCGAGAGCACTTCGGGGCGTGCGGGAGGGGGTGCGCGGCGCGCGAGGGAGGCGGCGGCGGCGGCGAGAGGAGGCGGAGGAGGAGCAGGCGCCGCCATGGCCGCCGCGCTCACCGACATGGCCGACCTGGAGGAGCTCTCGCGCCTCAGTCCTCTGCCCCCCGGCAGCCCGGGGCCGGTGGCGCGCGGCCGGATCGAGCCGCCCGAGGACGACGAAGACGACGACGACGATGAGGCGGAGGCGGAGGCGGTGGCCGCGCTGCTGCTCAACGGCGGCGGCGCGGGCGGCGGCGCGGGGGCTGGCGAGGCGGAGACCATGTCGGAGCCGAGCCCCGAGAGCGCCAGCCAGGCGGGCGAGGACGACGACGACGACGACGACGACGACGACGAGGGCAGTAGCAGCGGCGGCGCGGAGGAGGAGAGCAGCGCCGAGAGCCTGGTGGGTAGCAGCGGAGGCAGCAGCGGCGACGAGACGCGCTCGCTCAGCCCGGGCGCGGCGAGCAGCAGCAGCGGCGATGGGGACGGCAAGGAGGGCCTGGAGGAGCCCAAGGGACCGCGGGGCGGTCCGGGCGGCCCGGGCGGCGGCAGCAGCAGCAGCAGCGTGGTGTCGAGCGGCGGCGACGAGGGCTACGGGACCGGGGGCGGCGGGAGCAGCGCGACCTCCGGGGGCCGGCGCGGCAGCCTGGAGATGTCGTCGGACGGGGAACCGCTGAGCCGCATGGACTCGGAGGACAGGTCAGTGTGCCGCGGGTCCGCCGCCGTCGTGCTCGGAGGGACGGGGGGACCGGAGGACGACGAGGGGGCTCCTCCTGGACCCCACCGAGGGAATGGGGACGACGAGGGGCGGAAGGGACCGAGGGCGACCGAGGGGACGAGCCGAGTCCTCCCCGACCCTGCCGGGGGGACCTATGGGAAGGAGGAGACCCCTTCCAGATCCCACGGAGGGGAACGAGGAGGGGATCGGGGGACTCCTGGACTCCCATCAGCTGGATGGAGAGGACTCCGGCACCCGATGCCTTTCCTCCTCCTGGATCCCCGGAACCTGCCGAGGGGACGGAGCGGACGAGGGGACTCCTCCCGGACCCCACTTAAGGGACGTGGGCGCTCCTGGACTCCACCGGCGAGGGGACTCCTCCCGGACCCCACTTAAGGGACGTGGGCGCTCCTGGACTCCACCGACGGGACTCCACCCAGACCCCACCGTAGGGACGAGGGGACTCCTCGGAGCCTATCGAGGGGGTCAGGGGGACTCCGGACACCACTGAAGGGGACGAGGGCACTCCACCCGGACCCCGCCGAGGGGACGAGGACACTCCACTCGGACCCCACTGAAGGGGACGAGGGGACTCCACCCGGACCCCACTGAAGGGGACGAGGGGACTCCACCCGGACCCCACTGAAGGGGACGAGGGGACTCCACCCGGACCCCGCCGAGGGGATCGAGAGGACTCCCGCTCCCGATGCTTTCCCTCCTCCTGGACCCCCGGAACCTGCCGAGGGGACGAGGGGACTCCACCCGGACCCGGCAGAGCGGACTCCCCCGCCGTCCCCACCCCCAACCCCCGCAGCTCCCGGCCCCTCCCCCAGCCTCCACTGGGAAATCCCGGGCGGCCGCCGCGCCCCTCTCGGCCGCAGCTCCTACTCGGAACCCACCCCCCAACTCTGCCTCCTCGCCGCCGCTGCGGACGGAGGACCGCTCTCCTCGGAGACAGCCCGCCCGACGCCCGCCGAGCTCCGGAGGCTCTTGATGTACACCCCGGTACTCAAGGTTAGCTTGGTCCGCCGCGTTCCCAGCGCCTGGCAGGGCTGCACCTGACAAGTGTTTTCCAACATGGCTGGTCTGCCTGGAGCGCAGAACTAACTTGTGCGGCGAGACCCCGACCTCAGTTTTCTTTAGACTGTTGGCTGTTCCGTCCGTCATTGCTTCCCAAACTCCCGTGTAGTCGTCGTTAGGGTGGTCTCTGCCGGGATTTTAATTGTGGACAGATCTGGGAGAAAGTTTGAAAAACCTAAGGTTGTGGAAAAGAATAGTGAATTGATGCCCTTTATAGTAACTTTGCAGGATCGGAAAGAATTGGGGTAGCAAGATTCAGCCACGAAGGGTAAAAAAAAATTTGGACGTGACTTAAAATTGGTACTGCGTAGTGATGCTCCAGTCCTGGGTGTTATTTAAAGTCACATATGGGGGAGGTTGTCTGGACATTTAGCACTTTTAGAGCTTGTTAGAAGTAGCATGTAGACAAAAATGGGTTTCATTTTTCCGCAGTATTTAGCTAATATATTGTAATAGCATGTTTCAGTTACTATAATTTTTGATTGCTTTGGAAAACTTTGTATTCTAAGTGGTGGATTTTTATCGCGCTTTTTTGAGGGGTTCTTTTTGAGACAGGGTCTCCCAGTAGCCCCAGCTGGCCTGGAACTCAGTCTTTAGACCAGGCTGTTCTCAAACTCACAAATCCGCCTGCTTCTGCCTCCCAAGTGCTGAGATTAGAGTGCTGGGATTAAAGGCGCAGACCACCACACCCAGCATAGTTTTTTTTTTTGATTTTTAATTTTTATTTAACATCTGTCCATTACTTCCTTTCAAGAGACTGAGTTATTGGTTAAGCAATAGTTGAGTAAGTGGAATTTTGGTTTCTTTTGATATTGAATGAGTAATTTTGACATATCTCAGGAAAGAGTAAGATCACTGTCCAGATAAGGTTAAAGCTTGATAATGACACGTGCTTGCTTGCTCCTCCTTTTAATTTTTTTGCATTACTTATTAATTTATTCATTGGTCTGTGTGTGTGGGTGCATGTGTACCATGACACATTTGTGGAGGTCAAGGACAGTTTGCCTCAGTCAGTTCTCTCCTTCTAATGTGGGTTCTGGGGATCAAACTCTGGTCATTTGCTTGGTGTATTTCAGTGCAGTAGACATATTCTTGTTTGAAAAAACTCCACTAATGAAATGGAATTGTGGTCTTGATAATTTCTTGCTCCTTGTTGATTTGATTCTTTTGAATATATTTTAGAGTTTATTTACATTTGGAAAGGATCCATACCATAATTTGTTTTGTTGAAACTGAGTCTTTGTAGCACTGGCTGGCCTAGAAGTTGCTTTGTAGATGAGGCTTACCTCACAGTGATCAGCCTGTCTCTGCCTCCTGAGTGCTGGGATTAAAGTCGTGTGCCACCACACCTGGCAGGTTTTGTATGTTTGTTTTTTGAGACAGTCTTGCCCTGTGTTAGACTGACCTAGCACTCATTCTGTAGCGTAGCTGTCCTCTAATTGTGGCTGTCCTCCTGCCTCAGCTTCCTGAATGCTGAGATTACAGGTGTGAGCAGCTTTTTGTCTAGGATCCATAATTCCTAGGCCGTCCCTTAGATGTCACAGGTTGATTTCATGATAGGGAGTTTAGTTTTTTTAGTTGATGGAAGGATGTAGTAGTTTAAAAAATCCTACTAAAATGACCAGGCTTTCCTTTGACAGCAGCACCTTGTATAGTTAGAAGTTTTCTGTTAGCATGCTCAGTTTATCATTTTGAAAACATGTTGAACATTTGAGGACTGCTTTATCATTTGTTAACATTTCTAAAATATTTTGTCCTAGTTATAGAAAGAATATACTTAGATATTAGAATATGTGACCTAAGGCGTCATTTAGAAATATATTTGAAGTGTTGTAGTGAGGAATGACTAGTTTATAAAATGACTAAATGACATGTAGTACAAAAGTATTATTTATAAAACCAGTAATAAGCTTGTAAGCATAGTTTGGTAACATTCAGACTCTCTAAAGATTTATTATGTGTGCGTGTATGTGTGTATGCATGTGTGTGTGTGTGTGTGTGTGTGTGTGTGTGTGTCCCACGTGAGTGCAGGTGCCCACTGAGGCTAGAGGCATTGTATTCACTGGAGTTAGAGTTAGAGTGAGTTATGAGATACCCTACATGGACACTGGGAGCTGAACTTGGGACCTGTAAGAATAGTATGTTTTCTTAACCACAGAGCCATCTCTCTAGCCCCCAAGTTTCAAAATCTTAAGGTTGACATTTAATTGTAGTTACTTTGGTGATGAAGATAGAATTGTCTTTGGGAATATTTAGGTATGCCAAAAAAGTAGTGCTTTCAAAACTTTGTTCTCTCTCGTTGTGAAGATCAGCATTGTGTGTGTGTGTGTGTGTGTGTGTGTGTGTGTATGTGTGTGCTCGTGTGCCTACATGTGAAGATCAGCAGACTACTAGAGCAAAATAGTAAACAAAATGCGAAAATGGGTGGTCACAAAGGCCATTAGCATTCTGTGGGGCAAAGCTTGGACTCCTGGCACTATGGATTCCAAATTCTGAGGAATAATTCACTTTGGTATTAGGAAAGCTGCCCAGTGTTCAAGTACTAGATAGATCTTTTTCTAGTGTAGAGGCCAAACTTCTAAACTTAACACCAAGTGTTGAGGTTATTGCCAAGATTTCTAAGCTCTATATGGTTGAGGCAATAAAATACTTGGGCTTAAAGCAATGGTTTGTTCCTACTTCATGATGGATCTCTGTTCAGCCCTGCGGCCTTTCCAGATTGCTTTTCCTGCCCCCTTTTATTTTTACTATGTTTTGGGGAGAAGAGCTTCAAATGGATTGGTCTGTTGCTCTCAGTTAACTAAGGTTTTGCTTTGCAAAGAATGAAAGTAGAACAGTAAGAGAAACCTGCAGATTTCATGATTGACTTACAGAAGGTTCTGAGGAGGCACTAACTTTAAGAAACATCAGGGCCATTTTGTTGGGTCAGTTTTTGAATTCTGTATGTAGGTTAGGTTGCTGCCGTTAAGCCTAGATATTGTGTATATAGGACATTTCTGTGGAAAGCCAGCACAACAGAATATTTACCACTTTATCTTGGTATTGTCCTTAGACTCTTAATTCTTATTTTATTTCGTTTGTTTATTTTTGGTCCTTTTTTGAGACAGGGTCTCACTGTAGCCCTAGCTGACCTGGAACTTATGATGTAGACCAGGCTGGCTTTAAACTCACAGAGGTCTGCCTGCTTCTGTCTTCTAAGTGCTGGGATTAAAGCCGTGTGCCACCACGCCCGGCCTAGATTTTTAATTCTGAGGTATAGATAGGTTTTGCAGTCACTAATAGTAGAAAACTTTAATTTAAAAAATTCTATTTCCATTACTTTTTGTTATGTGTATGTGTCTGTGTGTGTATGAAATGTGCCCATGGAGCCCAGAGGCAATGAATCCCTCTGGAGATGGAGTTACCAGCGATTGTGATCCACTATGTGGATGCTGGGTACTAGACCCAGGGCCTCTGTAAGAGTAGCAAGCATTCTTAACCATTGAGCCATCTCTTCAGTACCCAAGATTTTGTTTTTTTTTAATGTGTGTGTGTGTGTGTGTGTGTGTGTGTGTGTGTGTGTGTAGTTTGTGCATGTGAGTGCAGTATCCATGGAGACCAGAGGAGGGCATTGGAATCCCTGGAACTGGAGTTAAAGAGGTTGTGAACCTGCTCTGGTCTTCTGTAAGAGCAGTTCAAGTTCTTGACTACAGAACCATCTTTCCCTATTATTATAGTTATTATTATTATTAATTCTTATTTAGACAGGGTCTCATTATGTAGCCCTGGTTGTCTGGAACTTGATAGGTAGATCAGGCTGCTCTTGACCTTGTGGCAATCCTTCAGCCTTCCAAGTGCTGGAATTCCATGCACAAACTAGCATCCTTGGTTTTTCTGGACCTCCACCCCCTTTTTTAAAGAT